CATCAGGTGGACAGTTAGTTAATTTGTCACTCCCGTATTATTAAAAGAATTAATAAAAAATAACTGTACTGAAGTGATCATCCTAGCTTTGCTGAATAAAAACTTTAAAGCAATCTAGCCGAGCTGAAAGATATGGACCGCTTAACAATTGGGCGCTTAACAGCTAGGCTTTGATTCTGTTGAAATTCTAGGTTTACACGTAAAACGAAGTTCAATTTCGTAAGATTTGGTCTTTTCTACAATTTACTAAAGGTATTTTCTGTTGCTAAAAATGCCTCTGTTGTAGGAAGAATTCGTCGATGCTACAGCGCCATATATTTAAGCCATTGAGATTTTTCAGGCTTTTCTAATTACTTAGTGTGAATCCCACGGGAGGAATTGCGATAATGTATTTTTTACATGGTCTAGAACTGTGCCGTGGTGGTGTAAGAACATTCACTACGTATACCGTCCTGCGGGTTTAAAAAGAGTATTTTAGTTATTTAAAAAATACGTTAGCTTGCTCAGCGATCTGTGCATGTGGCCTGAGCATAGGTGCCTGTGGCAGTGATCTTACAAAGGCTGTATGGATAATGAATGAATTAAATATTTTTAATGAAATCCTTTAAGACCGACGGTAGCAAAAATAAACAATTAAACATGAGATTTTGAGGTACCGCTTAAGTAAACAAAAACAACAGTTATGTGCGGTGCGGCAACTAAAGGGGTCCGTTCGAATTCTTAAGATGTTAAAAAAGGTGATCCAATGAAACCTGTTCAAAAGAGAGGGAGCGCTAATTTTCAAGCGGCTTTCAAAAAATAATTTTCGTTAACATGCCAAGAAAGCCGAAATATTTGCGGAAGGTCATTGATCGCTATCGGTGTTGACTGAAAGGAAAAATTAATTGAAAAAATTTACTAAGTGTAATTATAATAATAACATTGCTAATATGAATTAGATAAACCTTTTTAAAAACCATTTTAAGTGTGAATAGTGGTCGTGGTATCTGAGCATCCATTCCATTAATTACAGCCTATAAGAGCCGACTGCTGAACATAGGCCTCCCACATACATTGCCCCACTGGGGGCATTTTGCCATAGTTGCCACGCGTGGCATACGGGTGGCAGCCGCAGTTTCTTTATTATTTTAAGTTGTTATTAGGAAGATGCTGCTGCCCATATCCTGTTTCCGTTTCCCGTCGTCCGTCACGACACCCACTGGACTACATGCGGTAGTGGATATTCTAACACTGCCACTGAACGGTGCGGTATCTAAATGCTGGCCGTAAATTCCATAGTACGCAAGATACCCTAGTTTCAATCTCCACAAGCAACAAAATTTAAGTCCTAAATACGTACCCGGTGGTGACATAAAACATCGTAAGGAAACCCGAGAAATAAAATTAATTAAGGATAATTAAATTCCACCAATACGTATGGGTATATAAGCTGTAACTTTACTTTTTACTTAACTTTGTGCTACTATTAGAAAAATTAATCTGGTAGGTAACATAATAATGATAAATCTACTACAGGGTATTGGCGGTTAAGAATATCCACTACCCCATATCTTCCTGTGGGTGTCGTAAAAGGTGACAGAGGGAAACAGGCGGGAGATGGGCAGCAGCATCTTCCTGATAACAGCAACTGTACGACAAAAAAACTGCGGTTGCCAACCCGCTCGCCAAGCGTGGCAACTATGGCAATATACCCCCCATGAACAATTACACAAATAGACGGCCCCCAGTCCCCGGCGGCCCCGCTATTCCTGGCTACGGTGGCGACCATGGTAACGGCGGAGCAGGGGGTGCTAAGAATCTCCGGTGGAGGTTCGGTTGCCACCTACGACGACTCGACCTGGCAACATTTAACGCACGCACACTGAGGACTGACGAGAAGATCCTGGAGCTGGAAGTAGAGATAGACAAGTTGCGCTGGAGTATTATAGGATTATCCGAGGTCCGAAGAGAGGGGGAGGACACGGTGATTCTCGAATCCGGCAACTTGTTCTATCACCGGGAGGGCGACCATCTGTCCCAAGGAGGTGTCGGATTTATTGTCCACAAGTCTCTCGTCAACAACGTTGTAAAGATTGGGAGTGTGGGTCGACGAGGGTCGCGTACCTGATACTCAGAATCACCAAACGGTATTCGCTGAAGGTCATACAGGTTTACGCACCAACCTCGGCACATTCCGATGAGGAGGTGGAGGAAATGTTTGAGGATATTTCCAAAGCCATGCATTCCTCCAAAACCCACTACACGGTGTTGATGGGAGACTTCAACGCAAAACTAGGCACAAGAGAAAACGGTGAGCTGAAGTTAGGTAAATTTGGAGTAGGGCAACGGAACCGAAGGGGCCAGCAGCTGGCCGACTTTATGGAGAAAGAGGGACTCTTTACGATGAACTCTTTCTTCCAGAAGCGGCCCCACAGGAAGTGGACCTGGTCGAGCCCCGACGGTTCGACAAAAAATGAGATTGACTTCATTATGACGACCAGACGCCAACTGTTCAGTGATATCTCAGTAATCACAAGGGTGAAAACTGGCAGCAATCACCGAATGGTTAGAGGCACACTGAACCTAAACGTTAAGTTGGAGAGGTCTCGTCTAATGAAGTCAACGCTCCGTCCCCCTCGTGCTCTAATCCAAAATCCCGAAAACTTTCAGCTCGAGTTACACAACCGCTTTCAGTGCCTACAAGATTGCAATGCAGTGGACGATATGAATGACAAGCTCGTGGAAACTGTCCATGCGGTCGGAGCTAAGTTCTGCAAGACCCGCCGCAGAAGAACACAAAAACTCTCCGATCACACTCTTAATCTCATGGCTGTTAGACGGGAGATGAGCCTGCAATCGTCAACAGATTTGACAGCATACAGGCAACTGAACAGACAGATCTCCAAATGCATGCGGCGAGACTTACGCAACTTTAATACTGCTCGTATTAAAGAAGCGATCGAGGGGAACCAGGGCTCCAGTCTTTGCCAGAGATCTGTCTGCCCGTAAGAGCCAACTGTCAAGGCTGAAGACTGAGTGTGGCAGCATCGTTTCCGGGACACTTGAGATTTTGAGTGAGATTGAGAGGTTCTATGGGCAGCTGTACACATCATCGTTGGAGCCACACGCAAGTGTGAGTAACGATCCAAGAGCAAGTCTTATCCGACACTATTCCGATGATATCCCGTACGTCAGTCTAAGCGAGATTAGAATGGCTCTCCAGCACCTTAAAAACGGCAGGGCCCCAGGCGAGGATGGAATTACAGCGGAGCTTCTGAAAGCGGGTGGAACACCGGTACTTGAAGTCCTTCAGAAGCTCTTCAATTCCGTTCTCCATAGTGACACTACTCCAGAGGCGCGGAGCAGAAGTGCGGTGGTTTTGTTCTTTAAGAAAGGCGACAACGCTCTCTTGAAGAACTACAGACCGATTTCCCTTCTGAGCCGCGTCTACGTGCTGTTTTCGAGAGTCATAACGAATCGTCTCGCACGCAGACTCGACGACTTCCAGCCTCCCGAACAAGCCGGTTTCCGAAAAGGCTTCAGTACTATAGACCACATACATACCCTGCGGCAGATTGTACAGAAGACTGAAGAGTACAATTTGCCACTTTGCCTGGCGTATGTGGACTATGCCAGTAGTTGTTGGGAGCACTATGCTCGAAGTTGTTGACGAGTACGTTTACCTGGGACAAATAGTCCGACTAGGTAAGTCCAACTTCGACCGAGAGGTCAATCGACGGATTCAACTCGGCTGGGCAGCGTTCGGGAAATTACGACACATCTTCTCGTCAGGTATACCTCAATCTCTGAAAACTAAAGTGTACAACCAGTGCGTGTTGCCAGTGATGACTTACGGATCAGAGACGTGGTCCTTCAATGCTGGCCGTATGAGGACGCTCAAGGTCGCTCAGCGAGCTATGGAGAGGGCTATGCTCGGAGTTTCTCTGCGTGATAGACTCAGAAATGAGGATATCCGCAGTAAAACCAGAGTGACCGACATAGCCCAACGGATTAGTAAGCTGAAGTGACAATGGGCCGGCCATCTAGCTCGAAGAACCGATAACCGATACTAGTTTTTACGGATTTTATCGCGTATATTTAACTATAAATACCCTACTTTTCGAGCGCTTTACAGCATCCATGGTCACGGGAGGGACTGAGATGTTCAACGTCCAAATGTCATAGTTAACTACACAGTATGAAAAGTCAGGTATTTATAGTTAAATATACGCGATAAAATCTGTAAAAACATTCCTAAATGGAAAGGTTCAATATTTCTAATAAACTTGTAACTTATACGTGGTAGAGCCATGCTGCAGTTATTATAGTAGTATAGTTGTAGGACGAATGGCTCGGCTTGACCGAGGAAGGACCACGCTCTCACAGAATAACAGCATAAAATAGTAGCTTAATACTGTTGTGTTTCGTATGGTGAGTGTAGAGAACCGGATACCCTTTTTTACTTGAAACGGGGCATTCCATTTTAGTCCTCACGGTTGCATTTTGATTGGTAATCGAGGACAGATGTAGACATCTATGGAACACAGCATCCACTTACCATCAGCTGGACTGTGTGCTCGTTTGTCACACTATCCTATAATCCTATAAAAAACGGTGATAAAATATTCATATTTTTTATAGCTGTTTCAAATTCCAAATCTTAAATGGCCCACTCTTTACAAGTATTTGTGTTTCTTTTCACTCGGTTTCCACATATTTAGTTTATTTATATATTACAGCAAATTAGAACAATAATTTTTAAAACTCTTTAAGATTTCAATTAAGAAGATTTTTAATGGCCTTTATCATCCAAGCACTACGATATGTAACATAAAATTCATTATCAAGGATAAAAAAATGTCTTATCGCGCGCATTGCTGTCTATAAGAAGAGATTACGAGCTACAATTTATAATAAATCACTTATCGATGCGCACAAGCGTTAAAGACCGTTCAGTTGATTTACTGATCCGTTCACCGTTCAGTCGGTAAAGCCGCCTGGTGGCGCATAGTCGGGTTGTGATGGCGCGCGCGCAACTCTTCGTATTGGCGCAAGCCGCCTTTGCCATGTTTACTATCGCAGGTTCGTAAACTCTAAAACGTAATGTTGTTTTTTTTTTACTATAATTTTCGAAATATTTCTTTTTTTATAATTAATAATTTTATAATATTACACATTTATATATAATTATGGATCTTTATAAATAATTAGTTTTATACAAACTGAAAATTGTGTTAACATACGCAGAAAATTAAATATTATAACGTATAAGTAACAAAATAACTAATAAAACAATCATTTATTTACATAACATTCCAATATACTATTCACTAACACAATGATATCTACTTAAAAAAATAACTAGGTACCTAATAGAGTTAACTTTTTTATTACTGCGATTAAAAACGCGCTTTTAAGCGACTCGCTCAGGCTTCACCTGGATAGAAGAACATGTATTAAATACATTTTTCTTTTTTTTTTAAATGAATCTTTAATATATTCGGATAAAATTGCCTAGAGCATTCCTGCCATTGCCCTCTACAAGTTCGTCAAGTTTCATTAAAATCAATTCAGCCATTCTGATCATTAAATCCGACAGACAGACGCACATATTTTTTACAAATGTTTATTCATGTCTTGCAATACAAATTGGGATTATTTACTCAGCTCAATAAAATACATTAATTTCGACATTACATACAAAACCATCAATTTTATTTATATATGTATCAATAATGAAAATGTATAAAATAATAAAAACGTGTTGCTATATTTTAAAATGTCATACCTACGACATGAAGCCTTGGTATCGACATAAAACCTGTGTTTATTTTATGATTTTAAATACTACTTTTCATACATAATAACACTTTCAATTAACATTAAGAAACTTAAAACAGCTAATAGCATTGTCAAAGTAAAGGCATGGGAAGTTATCAGGGAGAAGTTTTAGTTTTTTTTTATATTACCCACCGCGGTATACTGCCAAAAATACCGGCTGTTTTCCTTGTTGAATAAATAAACTTTGCTCAGAACGGAAAAATAATAAGTCCTTTTGTCATCATCGACGACGAGTCCTAGATACATTTTCTTAAAAACTATACTTTATTAACCGTGCGGACAGATACAGAAAATGGCACAAATATGTAATCATTTCACGGTGATTCAAATTTGCGCCATTCTCTCAGTTCAACTGTCTTTAATCCCGCCCCGTACTTACAACACTACGCCGCATAATGTATCGTCCAGTCTCCTGTCATCGACCCTAAATATTCCACTAGGCTCTGACACCAAGAGAACAATTATAGAGACGAGCCCTTCGCTTCGTTCAGAACACCATGCCGGGACAACTTACCAGCACATTTATTACGTGAAATTCCATGGAGTCCAAACTCGTCGACGCACAAAAACACTGATGAGGTTGACAGATTGTCGCTCCTAATCGGATTCCTTAGGCTATACGCAAGCTTTCCCCGTCAAGTAATGTGCCGAGATTACTTAATTATTTTACAAATCATATCATAAATAACTTAGTAGCAATTACCCCATTTCCATGAGATATTACTATCTATTCCTTAATAATATAATTATGGCTTTATATACAAACGTAGTTGAATAATTAAAAAAAATACATTTTTATAATATCATATTTAGAGTTCATGATTATTCTTTAGTCTTTAGAGAAATAGTTCTAACGACATTTTTTGTTAAAGTTTTTTACGTGGTAGAGCCATGCTGCAGTTATATTAGTAGTATAGTTGTAGCACGAATGGGTCGGCTCGACCGGGGAAGGACCATAGTGAATAGTAGCATGCTGCTAATTTCGTATGGTGAGTGTAGAGAACCGGAGACCCTTTTTACTGGAAATGAGGCATTCCATCTCAGTCCTCACGGGTGACAACGCATCTGCATTTTGATTTGTAATGGAGGATAGATGTAGATGTCTATGGGCCGCAGCAACCACTTACCATCAGGTGGACTGTGTGCTCGTTTGTCAGCCTATTCTATAAAAAAAAAAAAAAAAACGACGTCGGTGTGCGGCTTTCATCATCGTTTTTATGTTTAATAAAAAATTAAATAAGTTTTTATACGTGGTAGAGTCATGCCGCAGTTATATTAGTAGTATAGTTGTAGCACGAATGGGTCGGCTCGACCGGGGAAGGACCAGTGTTGCGTTTCGTATAGTGAGTGTAGAGAACCGGAGACCCTTTATACTGGAACGAGACATTCCATCTTAGTCCTCACGGGTGACACCGCATCTGCATTTTGATTTGTAATCGAGGACAGATGTAGATGTCTATGCGCCACAGCAACCACTTACCATCAGGTGGACTGTGTGCTCGTTTGTCACCCTATCCTATAAAAAGATAAAAAAATAACTGTAAAATTATAGATTCATTCTCTAAATCAAATAAACAATACAAACTCATTTTTGAAATATTGTGTCAATTAACATATAGCAGCTAAACCAAAAAACGAAAGTACACATACTTTTTAACTTGTCTTCCTTTTCTTACTATATTTTACAGTGAAAAACTTAAAATTGTGCGAGAAAATAAAAAGTGCATTTGTACTTTATTTGTAAATTAAGATCGTTTTTGATTACTTAGTATTTTTTTATTATTTTTTTAAATTTTTAATGTTCTCAGTACTTGCAAACTATCTAAATGACAACACATAGTGATTTCTTAAAAAAGATTGTTCGGAACACTGACTTATTAATCGCTTGGGGCCATTGTGACATCAAAATAGTAGTTTTTACAGTTGGACCTAAGCACTTTAAAAGAAATCAAAAAAATAAGATTATAATATAGTATGCGACACGCTTATTTGTACTGCCCGGGAGTGGGACGTTATAGGCTGTAATTTTCCTTTTTTATACTTTAATTTGACACGCTCTACACATAGGTATTATTAGATTCAATTGTCAATTGATCAAAACCGCATGTATTCTAAGTACAGGGTGCCATCTAATTTTGGAATTAGAACGTTACATTCTAAGTTAGTTATTTTGACATTTATAAATGGCGCTTTTCCCTTGAACAAAGTTGGGAAATATTAAAACCTTATTTCCAAAGTGGTGCATCTTATGCTCAAACTGTAAGAAATTTACAAAAAATAAAAAGGTTTACCAAAAACGCAGTTTGTGGAACAATATGCGAAGCGAGTTCGTGAAACTGGATCTTTGTTGGATAAAACAACCCGTCTACGTATTCGTCCAGTGCGCTCCACCGAAAACATCGCTGCTGTTGCTTAGAGTGTGCGTGAACAACCATCAACATCAACTCGTCATCGTTCTCAAGAATTGAACATTTCACGCACTCCTTCGAGAAGAATTTTGCATAATGATCTCGGTACGAATGCGTAAAAACTTCAATTAGTGCAAGAGCTGACGCCGCATGCATTTTCTTAATGGGACGAAGCCGAAGACCGCTTGATTGAAAAAGTCATATTTTCGGATGAAGCTCATTTTCACCTCGGAGGATACGTCAATAAGCAAAATTGTCGTATCTGCGGCTCATAAAGTTCACATGTCATTGTGGAGAAACCAATGCATCCACAATGAGTGACTGTTGGTGTGGATTTTGGTCTGATAGCATATTGGGCAATTTTTCTTCAAAAATGACCAAGAAACACCGCTATAGTGAATGACGATAGCTACCCCGCCATGATAAGCGATTTTTGTTTCCAAAATAGAAGAGAATGACATGGACGACATTAGGTTTTAACAGAACGTCGCAAGGTGCCAACACAGCCAACGTAACAATCGATCTCTTGCGCACTGTTTTCGAAAATCGCATAATCAGTCGAAATTCTGATGTCAATTGACCACCTCGAAACCGCAACTTGACTCCGCTGAAGTTTTTTTGTGGGGAGCCGTTAAGGGCATCCATATAGGATGGTAGCGTAACACTTGTCCTTAACAGATAAACAACAATTAAAAATTAATTGAAACATGAAATCTAAGCTAACATTGACGAAATAGAGGCCCAAACAACCGAAAATGTACAGAAAAATTGGACTAATCGAGTAAGGTATTGTAAAGCTACCCGTGTCGTGTGCCCGTATCATTTGTATGATGCTCTCTTCTGTTCCCCATAACTTCGATAAAATATTCGTTAGCTATTTTATAACAGCCGATTTATGATCTAAATTTTAAGTGGCCCACCCCTTATTTAATTAAATCTAAACTTCAGTAAATTTTGTATTTTAATTTCATTATCTAGTACTTTTTCTAAATTTAATGGGTGAGGTTTTGCCGTTTGCTACTTTCATTTTGTGACCGTTCAGAGCGGTTTTGGGAAACGACAGACTATCCGTAAGTTATTTTGTAAAAAACGATAAGGAAAACAATATCATAAAATATCATTTACAATACATAATAATACATACATAATAATAGATCTCGGCCCGTACCCGTCTTCTCAAATGGCGATTTGATATATCGTTCTCAAGTGACTGTAACGGCCTATGAAAAGTCCACTGCTGGACATAAGCCTGCCCGTAGCTTGTCTCATCCGCAGCCGACAACCACGGCTTTTTTAATTTTTAGTTTTTATTCCTAATTACAAAAAGACGCTGCTACCCGTTGCTCACCTGCAAGTCCATAGAGCACCACCACCACACCCACGAGACCACGTGGAGTGGTGGATATTTTAACACCTTCACTACACGGTGAGAGTCATGATAGCTCAGTGGGTTAGCGCTCGCTGTACATTTCATAGTACGCAATCACCCCGGGTTCGCTCCCCCCGGCACCAATGAAAATTTTAATTGCAATTTCAAGTGCTGATTTAGCACGCGCTCGGCGGTGAAGGAACGCATCGTGAGGAAACCTGCATGTCTGAAAAATAAAAAAAATATTTTTGAAGTTTGTGAAGTACGTTAACACGCATTGGGGCACCGCGGCAGACACTTCCTTGACCTAAAACCCTTTCAGAAGTGAGAGGAGACCTGCGCCCAGCTGTCCCACTGTACATAGACTGTATCTTTACTACACAGTGAATCATGTATCACTTCCTATTATAAAATTAGACTTGCGACCACATGCGTAATGCAGGTGGTCGCAAGTCTAAATTTTG